TTGACAGTTACTTCCCGACGGTACTTTTAAGTCCACCTTATTTTATTGGTCATAAATTTTTACAATAAGCTAAAAACGTTGTTTATTGCAGATGAATCTTTCGACTACCTACAAAACTTTTTGTATATTTAAAATGAAATCGTGGGAATATCATTTGAGGTTTTAAACATCAGTTGATAACTACGGTTGTGAGTGAAATTTTATGTGGTAAGTATTATTAAATTTATTTAAACAGATCGTGAAATTAGAATCTGACTATTATTCACAATCAATGTTTGTAGTTTTTAAAACAAATAAACACTAAAAATTTTACAGAAATCGGATTGTTCTTATTTATATAACTGTATTTTGGACCGATCCTTAGAAGTACCGTCGGGAAAACTAACAACGATCGTATTTTATTTACAGTTGTCGCAGTCATGGCAAAGAATAAATGGACTTCAAAAAATAAATTTACCAATAACGAACTACTAGAGATTTAAGACGGTGAGTTTGATGCTTTTGATTTAATTCCATTAGATAATGATCAAAACACTGACATTGAGGATTTTGAAGAAGACGAAGAAGGTATAATAGTTATTTTTTTTTATGAAAATATTTTTTTTACTTACCGACTTTATTTGTAGGTTCTCAAGCAGAAATAATAGAAACGAATCGTATAGTACGAGATATACTTCAGACTGAGGAAAACATACAAGGTGAAGAGGAAACAGATGAAGAACAAATAATAGAAACTGAATTAGAAGTGACAAAAAATGAAAGCGAAAGAAAGTGGGAACGAAAAGTAAAAGAAAATTCAGATCTTAGCGAATATAATCAACCTGAAGGAATTAATGAAAACGAATTTATAGAATGCTACACTGCTCTTAGTGTTTATTTGAAAATATTAGGTCCTGCTGTAGAACATATTGTTTTCCAGTCCAACTTATATGCTACTCAACGCAATAAGACATTAAATCTAACGGCTGACGAATTTCTGTGTTTTGTTGGAATAAATTTTTTGATGGGGTATCATCAGCTGCCCAGTCTTCAATCTTATTGGAGCACCAGTAAAGATCTCAGTGTTCCTCTAGTTAGTGAGTCTATGTCCAGAAACAGATTTCAGGAGATTATATCAAACTTGCATTTGAATGATAACAGTTTACTATCCAAGGAAAACAAGGATAAACTTTATAAAGTACGGCCTTTGATGGAAATTTTAAACAGTCAGTTTGGATTATTGTACTATGGAAGTTGGGAACTATCTGTTGATGAGTCTATTGTCAAATTCAAAGGCAGAAGCAGCCTCAAACAATATAACCCAATGAAGCCAGTAAAACGGGGATATAAACTCTGGTGCCTCTCTGATCAGTACGGATTTATAAAAAAGTTAGACATTTATCAGGGGAAAAATGAAGTCGTTGCAGCAAAATACAATAAGTGCACTTTAGGCGAAAGAGTTGTATTGTCTTTAACAGAAGAGGAACGCCACAAGAAAAAAATTGTTTATTTTGATAATTATTACACTACACTAAACTTACTGGAAGTTTTGCAAGGTCAGGAAATTTTTGCTTGTGGTACAATAAGAAACACAAGGAGAGGTTTACCAAAAACAATGAAGGTAGACAAAATGTTAAAACGAGGAGATGCTGATATTATGGTCTCTAACACTGATATTACATTCTATAAATGGAAAGATAATCGTGTAGTATGCCTTGCCTCAAACTTCCATGGTACCAATGAAGTTACAATTCAAAGAAAGGAGAAAACTGGTAAAAAGTGTAATATAACAGCCCCATCTGCAATAGAAGATTATAATAAGTATATGGGCGGGGTTGATCATGCAGATCGGCTCAGATTCTGCTACACTATAGATAGACACTCAAATAAATGGTGGCATCATTTATTTTGGGGCCTGCTTGAAATTGCATTTGTCAATAGCTATGTAGTGTCAAAACACTTTTTAGACATCGAAGAGTCTACCAATGATTTAGTAACATTGCGACGAGATGTGGCCATGGGACTTATCAGATCTTCTCCATTACGTAAAATGCAAAAGAGAATGTTTGATTCCCAGATTGCAATGAAAAGAAGAAGATACGGATACAGTGTACCAGATAGTATAAGGCTTGAAAATCTTGGTCATCACTGGGTGCAACATGGTGACCGTTGTGCAAGGTGTGAACTATGCAGTTCTAAAGGAATACAATCAAAACCATATTCATTTTGTTCTGCATGCAAAGTTTATTTATGTAGTAATGAGAAAAAGAATTGTTTTGTGGAATACCATAACGTTAGTTTGTAATTTAGTCGTTGAATAAACTGACGGTACTTATAAGTACCAGTTAAAAATAAAGTATTTGTGTTATTTATTTTGCAATAATTATTTTTTTATAGAGTATATATATGTGTATTAAAACATATTTAACAGAAAATTCTAAAATTCGATCTCTTTCAATGCTTGGGATTTTAAGGTAACAATAATTTAGTGGTACTTAAAAGTACCGTGGGGAGACTAAGGGTTAAATTTGATTTACCTTCTCTTTAATTCTTGTGGAGTTAACAGCATATTAATAGCTCCAAATTCTTGCTGTAGTTTTACATTATCTTCAAGCTGCGAAGCCCCATTTTCACTTGCCAACAATAGGTAACCACTGGGTTCAAAATTTATGTTTACACTTTCATCCAGACGTGTCCTGATATTCCTAAGAAACTCTGCACCATATGATGCCAATTGAATATTTTCAGACAGGGAGAATTGTTGTGTTAATGCTCCCATGGATATTGCTGTTGTACAATTTTTAAACTACAATAACAAATTTAAAAAAATGTAAGATATTAAATTTATTTATTTACCTAATAGAGAATAGAGAGCTGCATATTGACAAGTTAAAGTTTTTGTTATGCAGAACAAGTAATAAAGACTATAAATCAATATTGTACCAAAAATAAAGGTTAGTATATAGGATGAAATTATGTTTTAAATTCGAAAAAACATCATATCTGACAGTCAATTTTGGTATTCTGGTAGTAGCCCATTTGAAAACAGTGCTGTAAAGTAATATTGGTATGAATACTGCATAAGCAGGGCGAAAACAATAAATTTGCAAATGACTAACGATTAACTCGAATGTTATAATCATTTGATCATTAAAACAAGGTGTGTATATGTATCCATGAATCAGTAATTGATCAGCAATAGTAGAATGTATAATTACATCATAAACAAAAATTACTCATTTATGAATTAGTTTACTATCACTTACTGTGGGATCTTTATCAAGAACTAAAACTCGAAGTCCATCATAATTTGATTTTAACTTTAACCAGTAGGCAATTGCACTGCCTATAGCTCCTCCTCCAACAATTACAATATCTACATGTCTTGGAAAGTGTCTTCTTAAAAGCCATTGTTGTTCTTCTGGTGTAGGCTCTTTAAATTCTTTAAACTTTTTAAAATCATCACCTAATATTCTAATTGTTCTCCAGAAGGGATTTTCACGTTGTCTTTCGTTTAATTGAATAGTCCTGTGTAAATATCTTTTATTTTGAAATACTTTGTTACAAATGGTGCACAAACTTCTTGTATTCATATTTGTTAAAAGGGCATTTTATTTATTACTATTTGTTTAAATTCTATTTTAGATTTAAATAAAAGTAAATTATAGGTTATGTTATCTTCTTCTTCTTCCTTTATTTGTTAATATCCCAGCCCAGGTGATAATTTGCCCAACTGCTAAAAATGTGATGAACCCCAACCAACCTTGTCTTAATAATCTGTGACCCCAACCACAGAATAAATAAACAGTTGGTTGATCTGTAAGTGCACTCTGTGCACTGTGCCTTATGTCAAAAATTTCTATTATTACATAAAATACAAAGTAGAAATTTCTCAACACTACCACCAAAGAATATATTCTTTGCTACCACTACCACCTATGAATGGTCACTACTCAACAGCATAGAAATAAATCAACTGCAATCAAATCATCCAACAAGTGAGTGAAGATCTGAATCACCTTTCAGAGAAGTTTTCTTTTGAGAACATCAGGTGTAACAACAGGCTCATATTTCTTTATATGTACTGGCCTATCTACAGAAAAAAATTTCACATCTCTTTTTGACATACTGAAAAACATTGTACTATTACAAGTGGGCAAAAACAAGGACACTAAACACAGATGTAATCAACCGTTCTTGGGCAAAAGTATAGAGAAAGTGCCCATCATGCCCTGAAATCTGATATGAATGACTGGTTTGAGAAGGTATCCGAAATTGATCATCCGCAAACAAGTATGGCTAAAGATAATAAAAACTAATCCTCTTTCTGCAAGGTATGTAACATTAAGTTACTTTCTCACAAATCATGCCAATAGTAAAAAACATAAGGAAAGTATGAAAAGAGTGGCAGAAAATGTTAAAATTACCTGGTTTGTTTAGATCTTCAAATATGGTGAAAAATACTAGAATTGCTGAGTTAAAGCTTTGTGGCTTAATTACCACTAACAACCTCCCATTTTCTTTTGTAGATATAATACTTTAGTACAATTATTAAAAAACATAGCCCCTGATTCTGAAATAATTAAAACTATAACTTTAAAAAGAACAAAATGCTCAGCCATTGTTACTGAGAGTTTGGGAAAGTGTTTTAATGAAAAATTGAGCTCTCAATTAAGAGAGCCAGGGTGTTTTTTTCTTTAATAATGGATGAAACAACAGATATTGCTACAAAAAAAAACACAATGTGCATTTGCAGTTATCTATTATGACTATAATAATTCTAACATTGTAACAAGTTTTTTTGATATTGTTGAGGATTAGGGAAGTAAAGCCAATGAGTTATTTGATACATTAAAAAAACTTTGGTGGATAAAATATTCCTATTGCTAACTTGGTAGCATTTTCCTCTGATACTACCAATGTAATGGCTGGTCAGTATCATTCAGTTTTTGCCTTATTAAAAAATGAAATTCCGAACATATTATGTGTTAAATGCTCATGTCATATGGCACACTTGGCAGTTTCACATGCTTGCTTAAAGTTATCTCGATCCATAGAAGATCTTGTAAGAAATTAGGAAGTCATTTTAGTAGAAGCGCCATGAGAAATGAATGTTTACAGGAATTTCAGTCTTTTTTTAAAACTGATATACATAAAATATTAAAACCGGCTATAACTAATTGGCTTTCCCTGAAGCAGTGTGTTGACAGAGTTCTAGAACAATTTCAACTTCAACCTTTAAAAGCTTACTTCATTGAAGTAGTACTTGAAGATCCTTCCTTAACAACAGATGAAATATTATCTACAATGAATAATCAATTCACTCAAATTTATCTAGAGTTCATGTCATATGTACTTGATTTAATGACAGATTTTAATACTCTTTTTCAAATAAACAAACCACTTTTGCATAAACTAAAACTAGAAACAGCTAAACTCCTCACAACAATATGCTCCAATTTCATAGAAATCAATATTATTAGAAAAAATGATATATTTCAATTAAATCACAAAAATGCCCACAAAGTTAAATTAGAACAAATTTATCTTTGCATCACCACCCACAAGAGTTTTGAATCATTATGCAAAGTTCCTGAAATTGGGCAAGCTTGTAACCTGTTTTTAAAAACAATATTAGAATTTTATATTGAACTAGTAGTAATATAAAAACTAAATTTGTGTTTGATGATCCAATCTATGAATCATTATCCTTTATCGAACCAGGACAAGCACAATCCTTTGTAAATAAATCTCTAAAACCTATAGTTGATTGTTTTTCAATACTAACTGGGCATATTAATATGCAAGAATTAGATAATGAATGGCGGCAACATGCCCTTTTAGACTACAACAAATTAAATCTAGAAGCTATCTCAGATGCTTTAGAATATTGGAAAAACGTTTTTCAATTAAAAAATGCTGCTGGGGTGGAATTATTTCCAAATTTAAAAAAAAGTATTTTGTTGAAATTTACTACATACCTCGACTTTAAAAGCAATATTAGCTTCACAACAAGGTATTGCACAAAGTGTAGGTTGTGTTAAATTTGAACAGAAAACAACATGGTTAATTCTAAAATATGGAACAAAAAAAAATGAATAAACTGTACTCTGTAGGGACTAGGAATTGGTTAGTTTTCAACTTTTTATTTATTTTTATTTAATCATTGGTATTTGATTTAGCTGTACCTAGCTGGTTCCTACAACATATTATGATTATGTATGTAAACAATAAGTATTTTTAATATAGGTTTTAAGAGTTAATAATTTGTTAATTTACTGTATTTATGTATTATTTGTTGTTTTTTTATTTAAATAAATATATTTATATCAAACCACCGAATACTCCATCCCAACATTCTGTGATCAAATCCAGTATCCAAATCCGGTACACCGGTATTATCAATGACGTATTATTATTCTCTGGTGAATATTCTTTATCTATGATCAAATCTAACCCAACCCTCTTATCTATTCGCGATAGCCAATTCCGAGCAAGCAATTTGATTGAACCCAGCCTATGAGAAATGTTCACCCAGGTAGTACGATCGGGTGTAACAATTCATTGGAGCAAGGTGTTTTAATTCGTGTTTAAAAAACAGGAATCACCCCACCGTGCTCCAATGCTCTAGACCATCCCTTTCCCCCCTATAGCAATCTGAATCGCTATAGAGGCACAACAATCAGCCAAGTGCTCTTCATGTGGAGGTCCTGGGTAATTGAACCCCAACATGGTTTCCTAACCGTATGTGAAAACTCAGGACAGCGCATCTCCGCTTTATTCCTGTTTATCTTAATATAGAGCCAATTCCGACAGGGGGCGCTGAAGTTTTTAAAGATGGACGATAACTTCGGGAAAACAAATCATTTTGTCATTTGATCTCTTATAAGGTATAAAACGTTTAATATAAATCATTTACACGCGTGTGTTTTGCCAAAGTAAAAGTTGGAGTACGTTCTTCAAAGTTTATTTGTTTGTGATTCGAGTTTATACATAAGGTAATTGACTCCTAAACCTGAATAAAAAATAAAATTAAATATTAGGCTGAAGAAAAATGCTGTCCCATCAGCTAAATTGCCCCAACGTTCTCATGAAGTTATTAGTAGAAAACGTAAGGCGTAATTTACAAAATATGACGTAGCCAGCTCTAAAAACTGCCTCACCCTCAACTAAAGATCTCTGCCGACTTGCAACCATATAAATAATTAAGATAATGTAAATTTTACTTACTGTGTTTCAGATATACTGTAGAAAAACAAACATTTAATTTTAGTTTTATTCAGGTTTGGGAGTCAATTACCTTATGTATAAACTCGAATCACAAACAAATAAACTTTGAAGAACGTACTCCAATTTTTACTTTGTCAAAACACACGTGTACAGTCAAACAGATATCTCGTGAAATAAAAAAGTCACCGCGCAGAAACAAATTTGAAAGTGGGTGTCTAGCAAAGGCATTCGTGCAGTAAACGTTATGCAGTGAGGAGCTGAATATTTTTACACTGTTGCATTATTTCTTTTACTCGCGGTATTTAAATTTAATTTTGTTGTGATTTTAGGTTTTGTATGTGTATGTTTTGTTTTCCCGAATTTCGTAGAAAACACCCGTAGAAAAAATGTTTGGAATAAAAAGTGTAGCTAAGATCATTTTGAATAAAAATATGTATTAGCACTTTTTCTGTAGAATAAACCAGAAATTTTAGGGGAAAGTCCGAAGTTAAAAGTGGTGAACGTTTAACATCTTTTTTGGGGTCCAAAAATTGACATTCTCAGCAAAATTCAACTTGTTCGTATGATTTTTAGAGGTTCAGTGGCATTTTCGTCTCTGAAGACTGGAGAAAATACCTATTTATTTAGTTATTTTATATGATATCTACAACAAATTATGCATGCTAGCACTAATGTAATAAATGTACTTGCAGGGCAATGCTCCTCGTTCTCCCTTCCAAGAAAACATATTATAAAAGAAAAAAGAAGCAAACTATTGATTACTTCGACAAAGGGGTGTTAAGGCATATTATTCATAAAATGTATATAAGCGAGACAGAAGTACCTCAGCTAAAACATATTCTGCCTAAATTAAGAGATGTTGTAGGCTATCAAGGTAGTCGAGAATCTTTAAGATTAATTATATAAGAGATTTGCTTCCACTGGAGAAAAACAAATCGAATACTTCTAATGGAAGGACATGACATTCGGAAGCTTCGTATACACTGCTTAAGAGCTGTTAATAAGTATCGAGAAGAAGGTCGTCCTATAGTGTATATGGATGAAACATACATTCAGTCAACACATACCACACGCAAAAGTTGGAGTGATGATTCGAATGAAGGTATTAAGCAACCAAGATCAAAAGGAAATTGTTTGATTATTGTACATGCTGGTGGTGTGGTTTTGTTCAAGGAGCTGCCTTATTTTATAAATCTGTTATTAAAACAGGCGACTATCACGACGATATTTTAAAAAAATATTGTGTGGTTCGAAAACAAATTAACACTCAATCTTCCTCCACAAAATGTTGTAGTAATAGATAATGCACCTTATCACAATAAACAAATTAACAAGGCACCAACATCAACACCAACAGAAGAATTAATAAAGAAATGGTTAGAGGCCAGAAATATTCCTATAAACAATAGTATGCTAAAGACGGAACTGTACGATTTAGTAAAAATGCATAAAACAGCATATGTTCTTTATGCAATAGACGAGATCGCAATAAAACATGGACATACAATTTTAAGATTACCTCCATATCACCCAGATCTTAATCCAATCGAGCTGGTCTGGGCCAGCTTAAAATCCTATATAGCATAAAAAAATATTACATTTAATATCAATAATGTAAAAGACTTCTGCGAACAATTCTTTGCGACTTTCCCTCCTACTGAGTGGCAAAGCCGATGCAGCCATGCAAAAAATGTGAGGAAGAATTTTTGGTTCTACTAGCAACAATGGAAAATAATATGGAAACATTTGTCATAACTTTAAGTGACAGTGATTCGGAATGGGATTTTTCCTTTTATCAAGAATATTTTTTTTTGTAAAATGTAAGATACTCTTTTCTTCATTTGTATACAATTTTTTGGGATACATGTGTGTATATCATACCTCACCAAAAATAATTCCCTTTTCCTTTTAGTCATTAAATTGTATAAATTATTTGAAACTCATTTTTTCAGATATCAAAGTAAAAATACCCAATATTACTGAGATCATCCACATATTGACAACATTGTAACATTTTTAATATCTACCGAGAGATTATCAAGCCGTACAATGATTGTAATGTTCGGGTAAATTCCATTCTTTTCTGGCCGAATACTTTCTCTCTCTGCGCACTAGAAGCTCCGCCCGTTTCACGAGATTCCTGTTCACCTGTAAATGATTTATATTAAAAGTTTTATAGCCTAGAGATGAAATGACAAAATGGTTTGTTTTCCCGAAGTTATCGTCCATCTTTGAAATCTTCAGCGCCCCCTGTCGGAATTGGCTATCGCGAATATTAAAAACAAAGGTAATATTTCAAAATTTTGCCTAACAATTTGACTTCCTCCATATAGAACGAGTTTGATTACTTACTATTTAAATAATATTTTATCTTAAAACACACTGGTACTCACCAAATCATCAACACTCACTAAACTAAACGCTGTGAACAATCAAATGGCTGGAAAGTTTGTTTAGATACAGGCATTGACCACCCATTTCGTGACCTCAGACTAATGGAGTCAGACCACTAATAACGTGATCTGTGAATGGAGTGTATTGTTTCAAGAACAAAATATGATTGAAAGGTCAAATGTTAATAGTTCAGAGTTCTTTCCTAGGTGGCGTCGTTACCTTACTGGAAAAACGGTGTGACTTGTCATCATAGCTTTTTATATAGATTAGGTAGATATATTTTAGAAGCGGTAGTGACATCTATTCTATATGTTTTCAACTTTTATCTTTATAAATACATGAGAAATATAGACCATCTGCTGGCAAATTGATAAGTTATATCTTTGTTTAGAGGCCATTGTGTAAAAACGTGCTTGAAGTATAATTTATGTCCTATCCGTTTCGGATGTTGGCGACCAATGGCAATCTGTATTTTGCAAACTGCTGCTTTGAAAAGATTTGTGGTTGTTGTGTTGAACCACTTACGTAAATTTTTCAGGCAGGAAATCCTTCGCCTTTTGGTATTCATTTTCCGTCTACTTTTTCTTGTAGAATTAATTGCAGCAACCCTTGTCATTCGCTGTTCCTTATGATGCGACCGAGAAATTTGATTTTGGTTGTTAATACAGTTAATAACAGCAATATAAGTATTCATATTAACCATTTTCAACAGTTATCTGCTAAAATTATCAGCCTCATCATATGAGGTTAAATTCGTATGGGTTAAGGGACATTAGGATATTGGATAATAGTATTACCGATTCAATAGCCAAAAATCCACCAAAACACTTAAATACACTTAAAACTATACTTAAAATATATACTATACTTAAAACATATATTGACTGAAGAATTTAACACATGTGATCTCATTGCATATGTAAAAAAGCGTATTAAGTTTCAATGGGACAGACGTTGGGTTCAGTTCGGTAAAAGAACAGGCACTAATTGTTTAAATTGCAAGCAACAAAATAGCTGTGAACCAATTTTACAAAGTTGTTGCAATAAATAGAAACACGTGTCGACTATCCTAAGATTCAAAGTAGATCATGGATGTTTTCCGAAGCAACTACATAAATTCGGAGTTCTCCCAATAGACAGATGTGAGTGTGGAAGTGTAGCATAGCTGATCTAAATAACATATAATTTATCCAGGGGTCGGTTGAAGATTCCGGGGCGGTAGGCGCGTGCTTTTCCGAGATCATATGATTATGGTAAAATAAAATTTGCATGCAAATCTACATGATATTGTTACGATAAATTCTGACCCAAAACCGTAAACATATTTATTATTAATATTCTCATTCATTCATGTTCTAGGTAATTCCTACCTGACACACGATGGGTTCCCCTCCGCTATAAAGACCAGCCCGTAACCTTCTAGTATTTTCATCAGGTCAACATGCACGGGCTTTGAGAAACTCTATACCAGACGAGAAGACGATCGACTTTTCTAATATAACAATGGTATTGGTATTTAACGGGACCTTTTTGGAGAAAACAGTCAGTCAGAAACGAAGATCGCGGCGCGTTTTAAAATGTAACCATCGTAATAAATTATTATTATTGTAAGATAAATTATTATAAATAAACTTTAAATAAATTAAGTTGTATTTAACGGGACCTTTTTGGAGAAAATAGTCAGTCAGAAACAAAGATCGCGGCGCGTTTTAAAATGTAACGATCGTAATAAATTATTATTGTAAGATAAATTACTATAAATCAACTTTAAATAAATTAAGTTGTAAGTGTTATAAATATGGTTTATTCACGGTGGTTAGTTTATGTTACCAGGCTACCAAGAAATTTACATTTAAAGGTAGTCATGAAAGAATTGGCGAAAAACGGAATTGAAACTATTTAGGTTTACTGAAACTATTGTCAGAGTAGGATCCATTTTTAAAAGATCATACTTATTAAGAAACAAGCAAATTTAGCTAAGAGCAAAACGTCATATTTATCAAAAGATATATGTAACGAATTACTGAATATTTTGTCCATTCGAGCCATTGATGAAATTGTTAGCCAAATTAAGGCAAACAAATACTATTCTATAAGTTTAGATTCAACAACTGATAACACACCATGACTAACTTACAGTGATTTTGAGATATTGTAACAATAAAGGGAACCCCCTAGAAAGATTCGTGCGATTTTATAAAAACACTGGGCATAGCTCACAAGAACTTGATGACACAGTTGTTGGGATCTTACGAGTCTTTAAACTTAGATATTAAGAACTGTAAAGGCCAGTATTACGACAATATCAGTAATATGAGTGGCAAGTATTCTGGTTTGCAAGCACGTATTAAAGTTTACAATGATTTAGCTCTCTTTGTGCCTTGGCTGCTCACTCTTTAAATTTTGTTGTCCAAAATGCAGCAGATTGTTGTGTGCAGTGCAGTGAATACAACCCGTTGATCTTCTCGTTTTGATGCCGCAAAAACGTTGAAAAGCAATTACGGTTTGATTAAAACATGTTTGATTGAAATGTCAACGGATGTAAATGAGAAAATGTAGTAAGAGTAGAAGTAGCTTCTCTATCGGAAAAAAAGTTGATTTGTTGGAAAACGGAATAATTTTATCATTGTGGCTTGACGTTTTACAAAGGGTGAATAAAATAATACAAAAGGAAAATATCGATTTAAGCACAACCGCTCATCTATTTTGTACAAGACATGAAAAATTAGTCCAAATTCTAAAGACAAAAAACATAGACCATATTGACTTACGAATAATAACAAACCTCTACTGGAATCAAAGAGCACAAATCGTAATAGATAACGAACCCAGTCTAGAAATTGAAATCAGGAGAGGGGTTAGGCAGGGATGTATTATGTGTCCATTACTATTTTAATGTATATAGTCAAGCCATTTTTGAAGAAGCATTACTATCTCAAAGTGAAGGAATAATAATTAACGGAAGATCTTTTAACAACATAAGATATGCAGATGACACCGTCATTATGGCAAGCTCTGCTGAACAACTCAAATTACTGTTAAACAAAACAAACAGTTTCTGTGAAAAATATGGACTAAAAATGAATATATAAAAAAACCAAATACATGATAATAACAAAGAAAACAAATATACTAACAAACATACATTTGGGAAATGTACCGATAGAAAGGGTTGATAAATACAAATACCTAGGAACCTGGATTTCAGACAATAATGATCAAACAACCGCTAGCATAGAAATAGCAAGAAATGCGTTTGTAAAAATGAAAACAATTATCTGCAACATATATCTTAGATTAGAACTGAGAGTATGAGAACTGAGATGCTACGTGTTTTCGATACTGCAATATGGACTTGAAAGCTGGACATTGAAGCAAGAACACATAAATAAGTTACAGTCCTTTGAAATGTGGTGTTACAGGAGGATGCTTAGAATAGCATGGACACAGAAGAAAACTAATACGGAAGTATTGCGAGAAATGGGCAAATAATGCGAAATAATAAACAATAAAAATAAGAAAGTTACAATATGAGGGGACAGCGATATGAACTGCTTAAGGGACTGGTTTAAATGCAGTTCTATAGAACTCTTCAGAGCAGTAGTAGATAAAGTAAAGATAGTGATGATGATATCCAACCTCTGATTGGGAGACGGCACTTAAAGAAGAAGAAGCTCACCCATTATCATTTTTAGCAGATTACTTTGATGTCTTACGTGATCGTTTTGTTCACAACGAGGCGTTAGGAATGTTGTTAACAGGAAACGAAAATTATACTGAGAAGAGGATTATCAAAAAATTGCAATTAGGAGAAAAGAGTTCAGAGGCAAGTTTAAGCCAAAAAGAAAAAATGCGAACTCAATGTTATGTTTTTATAATAGACAATCTGAAGTCGGAGATTATTCGCCGATCTGATAGTTATAAATCTTGTTCAAGAGCATTTGAATTTTTGTGATGAACTAAAAACTACGGAAGATGAAGATATTTTTAGATCAGCAACCGAATTACAAGAAAAATACAAGAAGGATTTGGACGAATATTTTCCTCAATATGTTCATTTAAAGCATTTGTTAACGTCTCTTCCCCAATTAAAAAAGACACTCTTTTAGAATTGGTACAGGTTTTATACGAAAATAAATTAATATCTATCCTACGACAAATAATTGAAAAGCGTGTCGAAAGAAGTAGAGAGACCCATTTGGTATTTATAGACCTTGAGAAAGCATATGATAGTGTCCGTTAAAAAAAATGTTTGAGGTCCTCAAAAGTTCCGGACTGGATTCGACGTATATCCGAGCGATATATAAATTGTACGAAAATGCAGTTAGTTGTGTAAAAATTGGAACCAGAACCTCAAATGAATTTAAAGTCACTAAAGGCCTAAAGCAAGGATGCTGTTTGTTACCGACACTCTTTAAAATATACGTCCAAGAAGCATTGAGGAATTGGAGAAATAAATGTAGATTTATGGGCATCGAAGTGGGACAAGAAACTCTGTATACATTGTTGTTTGCAGATGATCAGGTGGTGGTTGCAACCGATGAGGAAGATATAAATTATATGAATCGAAAATTATTTGAGGAATATGCCAAATGGGGGCTTACTGTAAACATAAGCAAAACAGAATATTTAAAAATTGGAGGAAATACCACAGATCTGAGGCTTGAAAACGCAGTCATAAAAGGCTGCAACCAGTATAAATATCTAGGAAGCATCATATCAGCAGATGGCAGAGTTAAGATAGATGTACAAAACCGAATAACCCAAGGGAAAAAATGCATCCGAATACTGAATTCATTACTGTGGTCTAATAAAATAAAGATGCATACCAAACTTCGCGTATACAGAGCAATTGTAGAACCAATTACCACATATGGTGCCGAATGTTGGACGATGACAAAGAATGAACGAGATAAAGTAGACGTTGTGGAAATGGATTATCTTAGAAGGTCATGTCGAGTATCGAGAATGGAAAGAATCAGGAATGAGGAAATACGAAACCGTACAGGAATTAGAGATACTCTTTCAGATAGAATACAAGGAAGGCAATTACAATGGTATGGTCACGTGATGAGAATGGAGGAGGAACGGTGGCCAAAGAAAGCCTTAATGTATGTTCCGCCAGAAAGAAGGAAAAGGGGAAGACCACTAAATTCGTGGAGAAGAGAAATTACAAAAACAATACAATCTAAAGGCTTAGAAGAGGGAGATTGGAGAGATAGGAAAAGATGGAGGCTGAAATGCGGGAAGCGGCAATCGCCGTAGGACCCCCGTTATATGATGATGATGAAATTAATATCTTCATTTCCAAACGTTAATATTTGCCTGCGTATTTTTTTATCTATAATGGTCGCAAATTAGAGTGGCGAACGCTCTCTTTCGACAATAAAAAGGGTAAAGACCTACTTAAGAAATGCAATTTTCCAAGAAAATAAATTTGAACTCTTTAGCAGTTTTATCCATTAACGAGGATCTTTTAAATGAATTAAAAATAAATGCTTCGCTTCGCATCGAAAACTTCGCTTCAGTAAAAGCAAGAAAACAAGCTTTTCAATAGTACAGGTATTTGATTACCTACCTCATGTTACCTGTTTGAATGTTATTAGGTCCATTTTTATTTTACTTTTTGAAGTTCGCTCTTAATTTTATTTTCTTCTTGTATTTTGTTAGTATTCATTTAAGTTTGAAACCAAAAAAAATATTTTCCTTATTTTAATAAACTTGTATTCAAAACATGTTTTGTTGGATTGAAGAAACATTTTTGAGACTAGGTACGGTATTAGCAGCAGGCGACAGACTGTGTTAAACGGGTACTGCTGAAAGCAGGTTTAAAGACTCCATTAAACTTAAATGTACTATTAGGTGAAAATAATACAAAAAATTTTAAACTGATTATGGCATTTCTGCAAAAAATTAAATTAAAGGTGCCAATGAAAAATTGATCGTTTGAATGGATATTTCCTTTTTATGTGTATTTATTTGTTGCCCACATATCTAACAGTGGTTTATGTCTGGTGTGTTAATATAATGAAGTCGCTCAGATGAACTCCTGAGTGTGAAAAGTGTCCTGCCTGTACAATCCTGAATGAATGAATACTAATATTTGTATATAATTTACGTGGCTAAAGGTTCTAAAGCAAGGCTAATATAAAAAAATTAACAAAGGATTTTTTAATTGGACAAACTATTAAAAACACAACCAAAGGCTTGCAAATTTTATTAAAAAAAAACATTAACAATCATTTGGCAACGAATAACAAACATTTTAATAACATTCATAACTGAATGATTAACAATATATATTTATATACATGAGAACATTTTGACTTGCATAACAAATTTTAGAATTTAGAAGGCATTTTTATAGAGATTGTCTTAGTTTCTACATATTCGTAAACCGATTCTGGACCCCTAAAAATAAAATTCAACTGTAAGAGGAATGATCTAATAAAAATGGATAAAATAAATCCTTCAAATATGTGGCTGTATTCAACGTGGTTCATTGAATAAAGTCATATACTTGATGAAATTGTTATTCGCATTCTTTTTGATTTCTAAAATTGAACCAATTTCTTTTATATTCGAAATCTCCACACTTCTTATGATTCTGTGGCACATTCTCATCATTGAATTAATTATTTCTTGTACCTACACAAAATAAAATTAACAAATTACTTACAAATCTCTACCCATTCCAGATTTCTTGTAACCTCCAAATGGAGTTTGTGGTCCTAGTACTTCATCGTAACAGTTTATCCTGAAGTAATAAAATATATGTTATTGTAAAAAAAAAAATAAAAAAAAAATCTAATCTTACCAAACGGAACCAGCCTCAACAGATTGTGCATAAGTTAGAGCTGTGGTAATATTATTTGTGATGACTCCAGCAGCTAATCCATATTCTGTGTCGTTGGCTCTTTCTATAATTTCCTCAAGGGTATCGAATTTTAAGATAGACTGGACAGGTCCAAAAATCTGAAAAATTACCTATTTTAGAACATGGTTATGCCTTCAAAACTGGAAATCAATCGTTTATCTTTGTAACTTGTTATTTTGTAAAAGGGGTATCATTTGTCCAATCTACAAAAAGGGAACCTGGCTCTTGGATACATTACAAGGATACAAGGCAACTAAATGTCTGAAGAACAGATCGTCTACAAACAAATCAGTACAATTTGTTGAATATGACGATGTCATTATAACATGCTGTCAAGCACAGGAATAAGGAAATATATACATACGTGAAAAGAGCGACCAAGGAATTAAAAATAAAATAGACAAAAATACTAACACAGAGAAGGTTAAGCAGAAAGAAAACAAATTAGAGCAGAGAACGATGTTAAAGCAATAAAACGTTTCACAAATCTAGAAGATGAATTAAACACAGAGGGAACAGAGGAGGCAAAATTTTTAACGATTAAGGTCAACAAAGCCAATTTTTCGCTGACTCCTATTTGTTAGGTACATTGCCGAGTTGTTCTTGGCTTTTAGCTAAGCGAAATAGTTGTTCGGCACTGGATATATCTTTCCAATTACGAATATGATATCTGCTTCCTTCCAATTCTTCTGCGGCCCTCAATTTTACCTTTCATGATAAGCTGAAGGATTCTGTATTGATGTCTTCTAAGAGCATGCCATAGGTATGATTTTTTTTATTTTAATAGTTTTGATTGTCACGAACGGTATTTGCTCTATTTAATACAGCTTCGTTGGTCTGCATCGCTATCCAGAGTGGTCGAAACATTCTTATATATGACCATACATTTAGGCGATTTATCGTATCAGCCTTCAGACTTAATATTTCGATGCCATTTAACTGACAAATTATAACATTTAATCTTTCTTTCACGTAATTTTAGGTTTAAGTTGTAGTTACAGAAGAATGAATTCATTTTCCGAATGATTTCCATTGTGCAAGATGTTTTAATTCTGCACTTAATGTCTTTACCACATTTAATATTTTTAATTCCATAGTGTATTATATTATCATATCAAACTGTATGTTAGTTTTAAGGTTTAGATTTGTGAAATTCTTTTGTACCATTTAATTATCTGTACGGGCGGCGATAGTTTGTATTCAAAAGAATTTTCTATTGAAAGGGTGAGTTGAAATCAGTTTGAATCTAGCATTGGGTGAGCTCGAAGTTCCTGTTCGCGCTAACCGCACCCGCACTTTAGAAAGTTTAACTCACTCGGAATATTAATTTTTTTACTGAACTCGTGCCAATCGCATCACCGACAAGTTCTTTAGTTTTTTTTGCACATACATTCAAGACGAGTAAATTTCGTAAATCAGCTGTTGTAAGCAAGTTATCGTGGTCCAAAATATGTAGTTGTAATTGTTTAAATAGACTTTTTAAAACGCTCTTTACGAAATTTTTATTTGTCCAGAGTATCTGGGTGGTCCTTAAAAAAATACAAAAAAATGATCCGATTTTCCTAAGGACAAGGCCAACACTCGTTCCCCAGGAAAAACTAGCGACCTATGACTAGTGCGCAAAACAAAGGCATCAGGACGAGGTGTAAGGACAAACAGACCTACAGATACGTCATATTTTGTTGACGTATTTGTAGGGAAGCATTGTCGTTAGGTTGGCGACTGAAAATCGTACAACCTGTCTTGCAAACATTAATTTTTAGACCCATTTCTCTTCCTGTGATGTTTACGCAATTCAACAACTCTTGAAGATCCTGGAGATTATCGCATAAGATAGCAGTGTTGTTAGCACATCTAAGATTATAATCAATTATTTACCATTGATTATTATTTTATATTATTAGCTTGCTGTCTCTATTGGCTGCGATCGTGAGCCATATAGACGGCCTCATGTAGGTATTTTCTCAATAAAGTCTTCATTTGGTCTGCCTATCGTGTTGGAGATCTTCCTCTTGGTCTTCGGCTTTCTGCCTTTCCTTCTACTACCAATAGTTCCATGGTCCCCGTTCTTCTAGCTATGTGGATGCAAATAAAAAAAAACAGAATTTTTTTATTGAGTTTGTATTTAGGTAGTTGCAGTTAGCACAAACAAACAAAGGAGGATTTGGGACTTTTTTGTGCTAAGATATTTAAGACACGATGGAGAGAAGGTACAAAAACACATAATATAGACGTAAGAAAGATAGAAACAAGAAACACAAAGGTAAGAAAGTAAAGAATATTATAAATGATTGTAAAAGAAATCTAGGCAACACCCACTAAATGGTATTTTTGTTTGTAAAAACAGTTACAGAGTACAAGAGGAGTACAAATCGTGTTTTAAAAAAAGGTAACAGCGTCACCAGACTAGAAAAAAACTGAAAAATAATTGGGGTTTGCTTTGTAAACAATTTTTGTAACGCCATCCGTTTCCAAGATAAAGAGCGTTAAAGAAAAACATGTTACACATTTTTTACGATTTTGTCGAAACTACTGGTAACATTATAATGCAATTTTATATGAATACGTTTTAGCCGCTGATATGAATTAGTTTTTATACCTGACTCTCGTTGAGGGCGTTAGTTACAATGTTCGTACCAAGTATTATACAACATAACTTTTTTGGGTAGAATTATTAATCAAAATTCCAAGTAAACTTAAACATCAAAAGTTTCCTAGAAGAAACTTACCAAGTAAATAACATTAAGATCCATTGAACGACGTTATCGAGAAACTGAGAATGTGAGATCAAATAAAATAAATTCTGATATACCAAGAACTATTAATAAAGAAAATATTATTTTAAATTTACTTGATCAATATCCAACAGTTAGCGTAAGGAATATGACAAGATCTTCTACAAGTACTTGCAACTATTCATGCGATGATGAGAATCCATGAGTCAAAAGTGAGTCAAAAGAGTACCTATCGCATTTCCATCGAGTTCGAATCTATGGAGAGGACATCACCTCGGCCATATTGTTGTGATCGTTTGATAGATCGTGTATGCTTGTTTATGTTTGTGGTTTTTCGAATATTTTTGGATTTATACTTTTATAGAAACTGTCATATTATATTGTGACAGTGCATAATAATGGTTTCTTGTTCTCAACGTGATTGCAGTAGCAGAAGCCATGTTAATACAAAATCTTCAGGAATAACGTTCCACAGGTTAGTATACAAATATGCAAACCAAACAATGGCCTGTACTTCAGAGAATAAATTAATAGTATTCATAAAAAATTTTACAGTAACTTAGAAAAGTTTCACGATTAATTTTTCAGTCGTTATTGAATATTTTTAAAAGTTTCCAAAATAGCAATTAAAAATCCACTTCCAATAAAATATAAGTAATGAATACACAGAATATAAAGATACTAATAAACAATTTGTAAGCTTTTTATATTTTTATTAAATAATCATATATTTTATTTAAAATATAAATTTGTTATTAATACTTAATGATGTACTAAGCTATGAGCATATTAACGTATGTATTAAAAACGGCATAGGTAGGAGTGGCTAACTATAATACCAATATGGCGGTGACATCAGGGCCAGACTCAATAATAATAAAACTACTATACAAATATGACTAGTTATTCAGAAGATTTAATCATAATCTAAAAAAGTGCAATACATTTTTAATAAACTATGATTTATTTATCCCGCGATAAACACTAAAAACACGATATATTATATATAAAGATAAATTAATACAGTCAAATAGTATTAATTTATTCTCTGAAGTACGGGCCATTACTTTGTTTACATATTTGTATACTAACCTGTGGAAAGATATTCCTGAAGATTTTTTATTAACATTACTTCTGCTACTGCAACTACGTTGAGAACAAGAAACCATTATTATACACTATCACAATATATTACAGTTTCTATAAAATTATTATAAAATTCAAAATATTCGAAAAACAACAAATATAACCAAATATATACGATCTGTCAAAAGTTTCAAAACAATAATACCAATATAGCCGAAGTTAGGTCGTTTTTAGTCACGTGATGCCCTCTCCATAGATTCTAACTCGATGCCCTGATCCCACCGCCATATTGGTATGATCGTTAGCCACACCTACCGAGGCCGTTTTTAATATACATAGCTTCTCCATAGATTCTAACTCGATGCACAATACCAACTACCAACACTCATTTAGTTAATGTTTGGGCAGCAACTTTAGGTAACAAATTAATAGGTTATCATATTCTACCGGGAAATTTAAATGGTGATATGTACAGCTGCGGTCACTGAATAGTTTACAACTTCCTTTGTACATTAATACAATATTGTAAAATCGCAGTGTCGTCAGAATTTGCTAAATTTCGAAGTGTTTGTCAAAATATAAATAAAATATATAATAAATATAAAGTAAAAATAAAATAAAAAAACAAGAGCAATTACCAAACTCGAAGCAGGCATCGGAGGAGCTTATTGAATTTAACATGAGGAGATTGTTGTTAGGTATATATGAACAGAAGTTTGCAAAGTTGTGTTGACACAAATGAGGCTTCTAGCAAATATTAATTATTATGTTACTGTCTATCATGATTTAATACAAAATAAATTGAAAATAACGTAGACGTCCTTATTTTCTGTATTAAGAACATAATCTATTTTATTAAAAAAACTTTTTTCTATAATTTCCATTTTGTTACATTTTTTAAAATAGACTTATTTTATTTTCTGTACCAAGGTCAGAACTATGGGAGGCAATGTACAAATTAGAAATACAGACGGAACTCATAGAAGCTATAAAAGCTCTGTATAAAGAAAATAAAGTGTCCATTAAAGTGGGAACAAGAATCATAGGAGACTTCACCACAACAAAAGGGCTTCTGCAGGGTTGTTTCACATCTCCAACCCTATTCAAAATATACTTAGAGAAAGCCTTGACTACATGGAAAAGAAAATGCGAAGGCATGGGAGTACCGGTATGGAACGAATACCTATATACGCTAAGCTTTGCAAACGATCAAGTAGTGATTGCACAAGACCAAGACGACCTTAGCTACATGATAAAGAAACTACAAGAAGAAGATACCAAGGCTGGTATCTTCTCGCGAAAACAGAGTACCTATCTACAAGTGAGGAAGACATAGAAGTTCTACAGATTGATGACAACGTAACAATCAAAGAAAAGGATAAATTCAAATACTTGAGGTTTATAATCACGAAAAAAGCAACAACAGAGGAAGAAATTACACAAAGATTAGGACAAACAAGAACAGCAATCAGACAACTTAACTCAGTATGGTGGGATAGACACCTAAATAAGAAGACAAAAACACAGATTTATAAAACAGTGCGAAGTATTATGACATATGGGGCTGAAAATTGGATTATAAACAAGAAAAACAGCAATAAGATAGTAGCAACAGAGATGGAATGCCTGCGAAGATGCTGCAGAGTAACAAAAGAATGGATAGAAGTAATGATGAAATAAAGCAAAGAACATCAATAGAAACAGACATACTTACTAACATATATAGAACAAAAAAGACTAAAGTGGTATGGACATGTAAGAAGAACTAGCGACAGCAGATGGATAAAGAGAATAACCGAATGGAGCCCCATAGGAAGGAGGAAAAGAAGATGACTCCGAAGATCCTGGAGGAACGACGTAGACGACGCCATGAGTAAGAGAGGCCTAAACGATGGAGAATGGGACAACAGAAAGAGATGGAAACGGTTGAGCGAGGAAAGGCAGTGAATACTGTAGAATCCCTGAATATATATATTTATTTTGATTTTTTGTAGTTTTAATCAACCTATTCTAGATCCGCCACTGGTAAATAACGTCATTTTGACGTAAAATGTGCGTTTATTCCGTTTAATCAAGGTAAAAATTGAAAAAAATTGTCTACTAGAGAAGGGTGTAAATTATTTAATGGGCGCAGCTGTACCTTGATTTTCTAAACAATTAAGTACTTAATCGAGATATTAGAGGATTTAACACTAAACTAGCGAAGACTATTATTTTTTATGAATGATGAAGCTTCACCGCACATTGATAGAAGGTGTCGTAATTAGTTGAATAACTATTAATAATTTAATAGATGGATTAGAAGCTCCAATTCATTGGCTTCCTCGGTCTCTCAATTTTAATCCTTTGGACTACACAGTTAGATCGTACGTTAAAAAAGTTTATGCTACAGAGGTAAATTCACGTCAAGAATTGGAAGACAGACTTCAACGTCTTTAATGATATCATAGCTGATCCCAACCGTTTAGAAGATTAATGGATTCTTTAGAAAAAGGATAGACTTTTAATTCGTGAAAACTGAGGACATTTTGAACCCTTACTCTAATTGAATTTTATTTTATATTCTTGGTCTTTTTATTCTAATTTTCTTTTTGTGATTTTTTTTAATTAATAACTTTATCATTACTTTATACCTGCATCAATTATTACTTCATAACTTTCAAATCAAAATATTTTAAAAATGGTACACAGTATCGAGTACCTTTTTGGTGTAAAATAGTATCATGTTTATTTGGAATTTTGATTAATAATTCTACCCTCAAAAATGTTAGGTTGAATAATACTTGGTACGAACCTTGCAACTAGTACCCTCTATGAGAGTCAGATATAAAAACAAATTTCGTGGGATGTATCAGCTTCCAAAACATATTCGTATAACATTTCATTACAATGTACTTTTGGCAAAATCATAAAAAATGTGTAATTATTATTTTCTTCAACGCCCTTTATCTTAAAAACTGATGGCGTTACAAAATTTTTTTACTAACCAAACCCCAATTATTTTTCTTTTTTTTACCTATCCTATAGACGGTGTTATCTTTTTTTTGAAATACTCTGTATGTAAAATTCAAAAGATATCTCATATTATACTATATAATACTTACCTCTTCTTTTGCGATGGTCATATCATCTGTGACATTCGAGAACACAGTTGGTTGTACAAAGTAGCCTTCAGTTCCTATTCTGCTACCTCCTGTTTCCACTTTCGCTCCTTGTTTCTTTCCACTTTCAATCATAGTGAGAATTTTAGTTAAAGATGGTTCGTCAACCTTAAATGGATTTTTGTCGAGTTATTTTCTATTTAACACAATTCAAACTATATACATAAAATCTTAAAATTTCTGAAAAAATAAAAATTTATTTCTTGTTACTATTTATCGACATACCTGTGGTCCCTGAATTATGCCTTGTGCAAAAGGATCTCCTACTGTAATGCCTTTAGCAAATTCAGCAGCTTTCTTTACAAATTTATCGTATATTCCAGATTGCACGTACGTTCTAGAACCAGCACAACAGCTTTGACCATGGTTGCCGAAGATTGCAAAACCAGCAATTTTGACAGCTTCATCAACTGAAAAGAAAATAAGTAATTATAAAATAGATTCCCGTAGTCCATTCAAATCTTATCAATAAATATGACCTGATGAATAGGTTCTCCAAGACCAATTCTTCAATTACTTGTGGTGTACAAGACCAATTCTTCAATACAAGAATTAGTGGTGGAGTAATTGTTCTGATACCCATAACATTTTTAAATGTATGTCAAATTAATCGAATTGTTTTTATGTTAATTTCTGGTATATACGATTTCAAGATTCAGTAATATCAATAATTTTTGAGGAATGTGCTAACTCAAATTCAATATTGGTGAATCTCAATTGCGGTTTAAAAATTAATTACGGATTTACAAGACTATCTTGAAAAATTGTATAGAAGTTCCTTACCGTCGTAATCATCAAAAACAACCAAGGGACTCTTGCCTCCAAGCTCCAATGAAACTTTTTTTAAGTTTGATTTAGCAGCATATTCCATTATACGGTGTCCAATCTGAAAAAAGAGGATATTAAATATTACTATTGGAAATTACTTAAACATAATTTAAAATATTGTATTATTAAAAGTGATCTTTGTATTTCATTTTCTTTATATTATTTTTTGGTCTACTTAGAAAAATTACTTGTTATATAATATATCGGAATAATGAACATAGAAAAAGAGGCAACAAAAAGTCCAGAAACATTTTGTGCATCTATATTTATTTTTTCACTACTTTTTAAAACTTGTATTTAGGTACCGAAGTGATTAACTGGCTTGGTGTAGAGAATGAGTGAAGCGGGATCTTAAATGGTGTATCATTGCCTTTAGTGATGAATGCAGATTTGTCTGGGCATGCAAAATGGCCGTGCAAGTTTAAAAAACATAGTGAAGGACGAGATCCTCTATTCAGTGTTTATTAGGTACAATATGACCGCAGTGTGTTACATCCAGGAGGTGGTAGATCCACATATTCTGCCTTATATACTGACGACACTCCCCAACCCACCTTTTTCAACAGGATAATTACATTTTAAAGAAAAGGAAGTTAATTTTTTGCCCTCTAGGCCTCCATATTTTTATTAATAGACATCATAGGAAGAAAATATTACTCCATTTACTGTATCCCCTACAGACCATAGCGGTATTTCGGCACGAAATACAAGTAATCTGGGATGAGATACCTTAAGAAGAGATCTATTTTAGATATTTATTTTTTAACGGGAGAACCTCAGAACATTTCACTTCAAATATAAATATAAAGAATCCGAACAATAATTAAAACAATAAACAGCAACAACATATTATAAAGTAACTATATCATAAGAATGAATACATTCAAAACAAAAATATGGAATCTACAAATCTTTAAATCTAGTTGAATTCATCCCTTCTATGGCTCTACAGCACAATTAGAGCACTGGCTTCCCTCTTCAAACCCCTCCATCCATATTACGGTCATTCTCCACCACGATCAACTTCCAAAGAGATATCTGGCGTCCTCCTTCACATCATCTTGCCATCGCTTTCTTGGTCTTTCAATAAGTCTCTTCTATATATATATATATATATATATATATATATATATATATATATATATATATATATATATATATATATATATATATATATTATATTATTTCGAACCTGTTGAAAGACATAGAGGAGGTTTCACAGCGAATCGTTATATTAGAGACATTTTGGAGGAACATGTGGTTCCATACGCGGGATTTATTGGTGACGCCTTTATTAATGCACGATGCCATAGCGCACGATTCACCACCTCCTATATGACTGAGATCGATATACCTACAATAAATTAACCTGCGTTGAGCACAGACTTACATTTAATAGAATATATTTGGGATGAGCTTAAATGAATGGTTCAGGATATAAATCATACAATCATGCACCACGGGGCATAATGGAATTGAGATTTGTGTTTAATGATGAATAGGAAGTATTGCCCCAAGAATTTATTAGAAAAGTCATCCAATCCATGCGAAAATCGATTGGAAAGTATAATTAGGATTAAGGGTGATAATATTAAATAGTTACTGAAAAGTAAAGAAATTCATTTTGTAATAATTAATGATTTCTTTGTTCGAAACGTCTTTCTTGCGTTCGTTGACGAGTATTTAGGAAACTAAGAAAAATGAGATCCAAATAGGTTAGTTAATCCAGATGCAGTATTACAACGCTTATCGTATAAAAACAAAATAATTGAGAATACCATGGTCTTTTCTGAATGAGTTAAAGAAATTTCAGAATTGTTTGGCATCATAATGAATATTGCGGTCCAAACGAGCAACAGAAGCTTTATAACATTCTTTAGTTAAGTTTTTACATTGAGACCGTAAATTAGAACAAAACAATGTAGGTAATCGTTTTGAGAATGAGAATATGACACATTTGAGATAGGGAGGATACCATCGAGAGAAGCTAGAAGATGCAAACTATTTAATAGGGTCAAAATTTGTAATACCGTTATTCAATAAGTAATTGATAAAAAATGTTTTGTGTCAGTTTCCATATTATTCTCTACAATAATTAAATCCCAATTGATAAGTCCAAAATAATCATTAAGAACACAACAATCAGCATTTTTCAGTCCAAATATGATTCAGAAACAAGACCCGCAACAGCCACAACGCAAAGGCTGGAAACGGCAAAGATGAAGTACTGAGAAGAATTACAGTAAATACGCTGAGAGATCGAAAGAGAAGTGAATACATTAGAAGAAAATGTAACAAAATGGAAAAAAATGGAATAACCACATAAGCAGAATGGAAGAGACCCGTATTATCAAAATAGCAAGAGATAAGTCACCAATAGGAAGAAGACGTATCGGACAACCGCGCAAAAGATGGAGTGACAACCTTCCATAGAGTTATTGATCCGCCAATGAACAAGCAGAATTGCTTATAAAGAGGAAGAAGAAAAGAAGAAGTATTATGATTCAGTGTATGAGAGCCGGTTAAAAGTAGTACCTAAACAAACATCACATTCAACAGCAGTGTGAAAATTATTCTCCAATATTAAATCAAAGACTTCAACTATAGCTACTGACGATGATTAGAAAATAATAAGTCTAAGAATATATTATGAGAGTTATGTATGTGTGGATTACCTTGTTTTAAATTTAAAAAAGAAGAACATTCATTTATAACTGTAGCAGGATAACCCACAGGACAGTGCGTTAGTAAACCATCTTCATAAGTTGAAGTCGACGAAGCCAAAGGCAAATTATATTCTCCAAATAAGTAAAGCAATGAATCAGGGTTCTGTGTGGCTGGAATATTTTCAATCGTCGTCATACAGTGAGTAAAATAGATGTTAATGTCAGATCGTGGTGGAATATAAGTTGCAACTAACATTATGTTTTTGTCACAATATTAAGGTGAATAAAAATGTGTTCCACTGTTTGAGTAACAGTAATCTGATGGGCAACGAAACACTGTTTGATACCCACAAGCGATGTTATTGAACCCAGCCTGAGACACTTGTACATAATGACACTCGGGTGTTACAATTATTTGGGACGAGGAGGATTAACTCGTGTAATCAGAAGTCATTTCATCGCGCCTCCATGCTCCAGACCATCTCTTTTCCCCGTATAGCACTCTGATGTACGATATAGGACTCTCTTTCATCAAAGTGCTTGTCGTTATGGGTACAAGAACTTCAACACGATATCCTACTCCGATCAAAGCAGGTTAGTGTAAGACGCTCCTTTCCTGATATATCTGGTGACATCGCTTGATATTGAATCTGAAATTGCTTGCTCGGGTCTTAAGTCTTCGCTCCGGGCTCGCCCAGTTTGGCGACATGGCGCTCGAGGATGTGGGCCATTTGTGCCCAGGTTTAGGGTTTTTTGTTAATGTTTTTTTGTGGCTTTCGTCTTTTGCCTAGTGGTTTTGTAATTTTTTTGGTGGCCGAAGCCGTTTTTTAGGTTTCTTTTATAATTTTTTTAATAGATGTCTGCAACGGAATATCATTAGTCACTGTCAAAACTGTCAGTGCTATGTGCCGATATGTCTTTTGTTGATAGAGCTACAATTATCTAGACTTCCTACGTTGACCAGGATTTGCTGTTTTGGTCTTTTATGCTTCCATCGATGGAACGCATAATATCTTATTATCTCTTGCTGTTTCGGACTTGGGTGGCTCTCTAGCTCAGGAAACTTTGTTCTGGCTTTTTCTTCCATTTAATTCCATTCCATCCTTACTTGTTTCAGTTCTCTGAAGAAGAAATGTTCAGAATGGTATCGGGGTACATTTACCGCTGCTCTAGGCCTGATATTATGTGTTGTTTGTACACTCTTTTTATTTGATTTGCTTATGTATTCCCGTACGAGAGATGAATATATTATTATTAGAAGTTTAATGCTGTTAATCAGTCTTATTTTTTTTTAGTCTTAATTTACTTCTTCTACCTGCCAGTGCTCTTATTGGGGCTTTGGCTATTTTTATTTTTTAGGTGGTTTGTCCATCTGCTGCGTGAAGGTTAGTCCTTGATCCATTGTGACTCCTAGATATTTTGCTCCTCTTTTCCATTAGATGGGATTGTTTTGTACTGTCAGCTGTTCGTATGAGTTTTCTTTTCCCTTCTTGAAGATGACTTGTTTTTTTTTCTGTGTTTAGAGTTGATGACAATTTTCCATTAGATACTTCATTGTTTTATGCTATCCAATGCTATCTGTAAGTTATTTACAGCTACATCAATGTTTCTGAGTTTAATCGCAATTGCTGTGTCATCTGCATTGATGGCCACAAGTATAACTCCTCCTCTTAAATAGAAACTACTGTTTGGATTACGATAATTGTCGATATTACGATCATCTAATTAGGAGTATGCTCAGACGTGAAACAACTCATTAGTAATTTTTACATATTTGCATTACTGCTAGTAATACAAAGTCTAGTGTTAATATCGGAGAGTTAGCGCTGGACAACTTCTCTTCTCATGTATTTTATAAAAATAATATTTATTTAAAGTTTTTAATACCAGGTTATACATTTGCAAATACATGATTAAAAAATTAAAACATTGTATAAAATATGTAAATAGTTAGTAAAATGTAATTAAATAGTAGATAAAATCTTACCTCAGTTGAGCCAGTAAATGCAATCTTCCTAACATCCTTGTGTAAAGCCAACGATGCTCCGGCAGTAGGACCGAACCCATTAACTACGTTAATAACTCCATTTGGAAAACCGGCTTCTTTAGTTAGAGCAGCCAAATACAATGCAGTGAGAGGAGTCTGCTCTGCTGGTTTCAAGACCAATGTACAGCCAGCAGCCAGTGCAGGGCCCCACTTCCAACTAAGCATCAAAGCAGGGTAATTCCATGGGATGATTTGTCCTACGACTCCTAGAGGTTCTTTACGAGTCATACACATAATTGGACCGTCTGAAACCAGTTTTTATATATCTGTGTAAATTAATAAATTAAGCTAAATACAGTCTCGTTTTAGCCTGACTTCACAAATAAAAGTACAAAATAATCATTATTATTTTATCATTATTATTACTTTTTTTTTTATTTTAAAGTTGGAGTAATAAAATAATTGTTTCTTGTAAATCTCTAAATACTTAAATATTTTGATTTTAATATTATTAATATTTTCAATATATGACTTATTTAATTACGTATTTCTTCTTCTTCCTACTTTATAAATAGGCTTAATGACTGTTTTACTTCGGTTTTTAGCCTCAATTAACGTTGTCTGACAATCTTTTCCTCGGTTGTCCCAATGATCATCTTCCATTTGGTGATCTGTTTCTTGCTATTCGTACTATTCTATTTTCTGTCATTCTTTCGATGTGTTGATTCCATTCCACTTTTCTTCTTTTGGTCCATGCGTTTATTTCCTCTATACCACATGTCGCTCGTATTTCCTCACTTCTTACTCTTTCTCTTAGAGTTGTGTTTGTTATTTTTCGTAAGATTACGTATTTCATTGTATGTAACTATCTTTATGAGAATCTGTATATCTGTATGAAAAAGTCATTAATTTACCCCAAAACGTTCGAGTTAATAGCCTTTTTAAAGATTAACTTGTAAATTAATTAATTTATTAAATCTATAAAACGGAAAGGTCCATCCAGCTTTCGAAAGGTTCCCACAGACTTACCCCAGGAGCGTCTATGTAAATAGGTTGGTCTTAGACTTGGTAGCTTGGTAGACTTAGAACTTAGAAATATTTATTACCTACCTCGTCATTGCAGACTCTATTTTTTTACTTCGTGCGAGGACGAAAATAATCAACTCCTCTTCTTCTCAGCTACTGTAGCCATTTAAAAGCTATGTGATTTCTCCATTGTGCTGATAGTCATTTATGAGTTCAGTCAAGTGATTTGGTCTAATATTTACAACCATATACATTTCATTTTTAATGGCTTCTATTAACTAACAAGCTAATTCTATATTTACTACATAAACAGCTTCATTAATAACATTAAAGACAACGCGGTCAATTTGCTCTGTGGTAATTTGCTACTGTTACTGTCTAAATTCAGTGCAGGCTCACCTAAGTTAAGGAAACGATTTAAAAACAACTAAACGAAAACTTCCTTCTATCTATCTATACAGCCCTTGCCGTCCAATTTTGGACATAGGCCTCCTCTTTCTTCTTCCCCGCCTCTCTATTGTAGGCAGTTTGCATCCACTTCGGGCCTGCGTGTTTCTTCAAGTCGTCTGACCATCTCATTTGTGGACTTCCTCTTTTTCGTTTGTAACTATATAGTTTCCAGTGTATAATCATCTTATTCCATCTGCCGTCTTTCTGTCTTATGGTATGTCCAGCAAACTTCCACTTAAGTTTTGCTATCTGCGTTGATACATCGGTCACTTTTGTTTTCTTGCGGATCCAAGTATTTCTTTTCTTGTCTGATAGCTTGATGTTCAGCATTTGCCTTTCCATGGCTCTTTGGGTCTTTGCTACTTTTTCCGTGTTTTCCATTGTAAACGTCCAAGTTTGAGAACCGTAGGGGAGAACAGAAAGTATACATTAGTTGAAGACTCTTGTTTTTAAATATTGGGGGTATTTTCTATTATATCGGAAAGTTTCCCGAAGGATACCCAAGCCAACCGTATCCTTCTCTTTATTTCTCCGGTCTGATTTTCTTTATTTAATTTAACTAGTTATCCCAAATATACATATTCTTTTACTTGTTCTATAGTTGTTTGTGCAATTGTAATTATGAATTCTTCTGGTTGGTTGGTCATAATTTTCGTTTTATTATAATTCATTTGTAGACCTATTTTTGTTGATTCGCTAATTAATTCATCCATCATATTTTGTAATTCTTCCGTTTTATCTATTATTAATACAATGTCGTCTGCATATCTCAAATGATTCAAGTATTGGCCATTTATGTTAATATCCCGTTTTTTCCATTGTAATTTCCTCATAACGTCTTCCAAAGCTAGATTGAATAGTTTGGGTGATATAATGTCACCCTGTCTGACTCCTCGCCGTATCTTAATAGGCTCCGTTCGTTCAACTATTTTATTGGATGTTGTTACTTGATCATATATATTGGAAATTAAGTCCGTATATCCCCATTTTGTAAAGAGTTCTTTACTGCGCAATGTTCCACCTTATCGAATGCTTTTTCAAAGTCTACAAATGCCATATACATTGAGATTTGATATTCGTTGGCCTTTTCAATTAATATTTTTATCGTAAACAGATGGTCGCTTGTACTGAATCCTTTTCTAAAACCGGCTTGCTTTCTTGACTGGTAATTATCTAACTGAGTTGTTAATTTGTTTGTTAGTAGTTTAGTTAACAGTTTGTACATTACATATAGTTTTTCATATTTTTTCTATCGCATTTCTTAAATAGTAAGTGTTATTGCCTCGTTCCAAGTGGTGGGTATTTGCTTTGTGTTCAATATTTTATTCATTAGTACATAAATGACTTCCACTGTAGTTTCCTTTCATTTTTTAGCATTTCCACAGTTATTCCATCTTTCCTTGGAGATTTGATATTCTTTATTTCTTTGAGTGACTTTTTTATTTCATTTTTACTGATTTCTGGTTGTAGGTCAGAGTTAACGTTCTTTATGTTCAGTTGTAAATGATTACGGATTTCTTGGGTTGGTTTTTGTTCTGTTTTATAGAGACTTGTATATTATTGGTGCGTTATCTGTAAAATTTATTTTATATTGTTGGTCTCTACTCCTTCTTTGTTCTTTATGCTAATAATTTGTATGTTTCCCAGGTTCTGCTTTAAGCACTTCATGTTTTTTTTTCAATTGTTTTCTCTATCTTTTCTTCCTGTACTCTCCGTTTACACTCCTTGATATTTTTTCTAATAGTTTTGTTTATTTCTTTGTATTCCATTTTATTTCTGTCCTCTTGTTCTAGTAATGTTCTTCTTGTGTTTATAAGAACGTTTGTTTCCTGGGACATGAAACTTTCTTTTTTTGTTGTTGTCTGTGCTATTTCTTTACCAACTTTCATTAGAGTTTCAGTAAATATCATGTTTATTTCATCGATATGTTTGTGTTCTATATCTTCCTTGGTCGGCAATATTTCTTTTATCCTTTCTTCGTACGTCTGTTTTTCTTGTTTTAGTTTTTCCATGTCTAATTTCTGATTATTTTTCATTTTCTTTCTTGTTTCAAATCTACTATCAAAGATCAGCTTGGCTCGGACGTCTATGGTCGCAACCAGTTGAGAAGCGATTTAGGGCTGTTACGTCTTTAACAATGGATTTTTGCGTTGAAAGAATATAATTAATTTCGTTTTTAGTTTCACCATTGGGACTAATCCATGTCCATTTTCTTTGAGGTTTTTTCTTAAAGAATATATTCATTGCATATAGTTGCTTCTCTTCCAAGCAATTCATCAATATGTGTCCTCTATCATTTCTTTTGCCGTATCCATAGTGTCCTACTTTGTCTTCTTCTTTATATAGTTGTTCTCATATTTTGGCATTGAAATCCCCCATTATTAGCGTTAATTTTGATTTCTTTTCTTCAATAGCTGTTGTGATGTCTTCGTAGAAATCTTCATCGCTGCAGCTACTTGTTGGAGCGTACACATGTATGATTTTTAAGGACGTTCTTTTTAATTTAAGCGTCGTGTATGCTACTCTATCTGATATACCCTTGGTATGTAACTACTTTTTTATTTATTATAAATACTACTCCATTGTTGGTGTTTTCTTCATTACCTTTATAGTATAGCAAATTTCCTGATTTCAGCTGTATTTTTTGTTCGTCTTTTCTTCTTACTTCGGATAACAGTAAAGTTAAAAACTTGGATAACAAAACACATATGAAATTTGATAAAACAACGGCGACTAGAAAAAAATGATTAAAAACAGTACAAAAATAAAGTAAAGTAATATTTAAAGTAGAAGACAAACTGAAATAATGGGAAATTATTTTACGACCCCATTCGACGACGATAGGACCCGGATATTGTGTCGGATAATCAATTCACTATTGGTGATCAGTGTAGTAGTGTCTGGAGGCTTGGGAGACTGAGACCTCGGAAGTCCTGAAGAAGATATCAGAGAGACTGTCGAAAGCTCGGCACAATGAGAATCAACGCGGTTCAACCCTGAAGACTGTTGAGTTTAATATTCATTTTTTTTTGTAATAGTATTAATTTTAGCTCTAGGTTTAATTGTACTAACCGCTAAAATTGTTTTTATTTATAATATATCAATAAACAACTATAGATAACTTTTATAACCTTATAAATAAGTATTTTATTTTTGAAATATTTTAGTCAATATCTATATAATAATATATACTGCATATATTAAAATACATACTACATTATCTGCAATAAACGGTTTATTTTAACAAACAAAATGTTTAAACAAAAATAACAATCCTTGAAAAAAACGTTATAAGATAAGATTAAAAAATACATGAATAGACAAACAAGTTACTGAATTCAAACAATTCAGAGCTATAGTCACTATCAAAAAAGCAAAGCGCGAATCTTGGATAACATACGTTTCAACAATTGACAGTCCTACTCAAATAACAACTGTATGTAAAAAAGTAAAAAGAATATCTAGTAGCACATCTTGGCGCAAAATAATATAATATATAAATATCAAAAGGAAATATCAAATATACTGGCATTCGTTTATGAAAAAATTCTTAAGCAAACTATTCATCAATTTTTTAAAATCAAAAGAAATAAATAAAATATATCATAGATTATGAACATTAAAATATCAGTAAAATAAACTTTCCAATATTGATGGATGAATTATAAGTGGTAATGAAAAACTGTAAGAACTCGTGCCCTTTACCAGATAATATACTCCCTATTTTTCTATAAAACCTCATCTGCTTATCTAAAGAAAACTTCAACCTAATATTCTCGAAAAAACTCCTCCAAAAAAACGTACGTAGAAACAATATATGTGATCCAAAATATTATAGATCTTAGCATTTCCTTATTAGCACACCACACAAGACCAATCTCCTTCTCGTGCCACTCCTAGCGGAAATTGGAAATCATCATGGCCACTGCGACTTTGTTAGCAGCGCGCCTAAAAAGTTCAATCGAACTACACCCGAACCATTCACGTAGATTACGAAGCCACGATAATATTTTTCTTCTTCCCACACTTCTTTTGCCCTTAATTTTGCCCTGCATGATGTTTCTTAAAAGTTCGTACTTTTCACCTCTCACAATGTGCCCCAAGTATTCCATCTTTCTAGTTTTTATCTCATTTAGAATTTCGCATCTTTTGTCTAAAGTTTGGAGTACTTGCGTGTTAGTGACGCGGTCCATCCATGAAATTCTGAGAATGCGCCTATAGCACCACATCTCGAAAGCTTCGATGTTTTTTATGGTCAACTGTTTTAGTGTCCAAGCCTCAACTCCATATAACAGGGTAGAAAAGACATAACACCGCAGCATTCGTATTCGTAACTTTATATTGATATCACGATTGCAAAAGAGTTTGCGCATTCTATTAAAGACTGATCTAGCGATTTCTATTCTACATCTAATCTCTTTTGTTTGATCAGTATCGTCTGTGATCCAAGCACCTAGATATTTATAACAGGGCACACGCTCAATCGTTGTATTGTCTATTACAAGATTAGCTCTGTTGATTTCGTGATTACCATAAATTTAGTTTTTTTTCAAATTAATTTTCAAGCCGTAACTGTTACAGTATATATTGAGACTTTGAACGAGATATTATAGTTCTACTAGCGTTCCCGTTAGGAGAACTGTATCGTCAGCATACCTTATATTGTTGATCGTCTCACCATTTATTATCAGACCAAGATCTTCTTCCTCGAGTGCTTGTTCACAAATAGCTTCACTATACAGATTAAATAAAAGTGGCGATAAGATACATCCCTGCCGGACTCCTCGACGGATTTGAATTTCTTCTGTTAGTCTGCCCTCAACCTTGACATTTGCTGTTTGATTCCAATATAGATTGCATATAATTCGAATATCTCGGCTGTCTATATTTTTCTTTATTAGAACTTGTCTTAGTGGTTCATGTTCTACTTTGTCAAAGGCATTTTCGAAATCAATAAAGCAGGCGTAAATTTCTTGGTTCATGTCTAAGCATCTCTGTGAGAGAACGTTTATTGCAAACAGAGCCTCCCTTGTACCCAGCCCTTTTCTGAATTACACTGAGTGTTACTGATGTCTACGTCTAATTTCCTATAGATCCTATTATGGATTATTTTTAAGAACAGTTTTAGAGCATGACTCATCAAAGCTATCGTACGATATTCGTTGCATTCCTTTGTATTTGCCTTTTTTGGCAGTAGTATAAAGGTCGAAAGGAGCCATTCTCTAGGTATTATACCAGTTCTATATATTGTGTTAAATAGATCTAGGAGTATTTTAATAGATTCATCGTCCATAAGTTTGAGCAGTTCTACGGGAATTTCATCAGGACCGGGGGGCCTTACCACTTTTTGCTTGTTTGATTGCATATTCTATTTCTTCTCTGATTATATCAGGCCCTGTATCATCTGTATATTCGTTTGAGATTTCTTGTCTATCTTTGTCATCAAACAGTTGTGATATGTATTCTGTCCATCGGTTCATTTTTTGTTGTAAATTTGTTATAATTATACCATCTGTATCTTTGATCTGTCCTGTCTGTGTTGTTCTTCTCCTTCCTGTCATTTCTTTAATCTTTTTGTGTACATTAAAAAAGTCATATTTTCGCTCCAATTGTTCCAACTCCTGGCATTGCTCACAAGACCAATACAAATCCTATATTAGGAATCTGGAGAGATCTCAGTCACGTTTAGAAGACAATAGTCTATAGACAAGTCTTTCTTATGCCGCTGCAGTATCATCTAATGAAGATAATCCAGTTATACACAACAAATTCGCTGACCACTTTAGAAGTTGTTTCCAAACTTCAAATCGAACTGATCTCCCTTCCTATTACCGCATACAAATCTACTTGTTGAAAATGGGTATCCACTTTCCAGACACCTACGATATTTCCTCAATCTAAACCCCTCTTCTTTGGACAATTCGCCAATCCTCTAGTGACACCAGCTTATTGCGGATTAGTAAATCAGAAACGCCAGCAAGTCAAATTAATCAAGAATTTGATGGTAAACCGGAACACAAAGTAACTGTACCAGCTAATATAGTTTAGAAAACACAAGGAAAAGAACCGATATAGAAGCCGAACAGAAGACTCTTTATATTACACATTTTTATTTTTTCAATACACAAAGAAACTTTATTAAATTTTAAAAAATAAATTAAACTGTCATTAGAGTTAAACTTACCAGCAGGAATAGTTTCACCATATATTTTATCACAGTAACCAGCATAGTATCTAAATACTGATACGGCAAATTGGGTACACATTTTAGCTAATTCCAAAGTTTTTCCATTTTCAAGCACCTCCAGTTCTGATATTTCATCTAGATGTTGTTCTACAAGATCTGCAAACTACAAAGATAAAACATTAACAATGAATTATACAATCAAATTACATACAACATATTTATAGACCAATTACAATTTTTTTAGATGATGCAATTCACGAAACACAAAAGATAACATGGGTAAATCCGTAAATTGTTTGGGAAATCCTCCAGAAAACTACAGAAGTTGCAAAGTTCATAAATAATTGCACCAAAAGACGTATTCCAGAGTAAGAGACAAAACTGCAACAAACAAACAGAAAAGCACAACAACCTGTAAATCCAGGGTTCACTTATAGATCAGAGAACTAAGGATTTTCATGTTACATTCAATGATACGGGTATCTTATAGCATTTTCGTTTTACCCCGTATATCATAAAACATCGATAAAATTCTAAATATTTTTGCGACTCTAAGATTGGTAATATAAACTTTTTCTAGTCGAGTTTTTGGAAGGATGACGTCACTTGTACATGACTGTATGATACGGTAGCTTTCATTGTGCAAGTCCGAATTCGTCATCGGGAATTCGATAGCGTAGCGGTCAGAGCGAACAATTTAGGGTCTGAACGGAGGAACATCGTTTTCTGTTAGAGATTTAAAACCGGCAGTTTGTGTTAATTCCATGAATTTTAGTGAAAAGAAAGTGATTTAAGCTCAAAATTCCATGTGTCAATCTTTGTAATACGAGTTAATCATCGTTTGTTGGGACTGTGTTCTTTGTCAATTGATTTGATAACAGCGTTCTGAAGGCTACGTAGGCCGACATGGTTTTAAGTGGAAAATAGGCAGCTGAGTTTAAAGAATACATATTGTTACCATCCAGGATAGCCTGAAGTCCAGTTTTGGTATCTGATTTAATTTTTCCCAGGATTTGTCCAGTATCCATTTTGTGTCTTCCATGGGTCAGGTTTTGATTGTTTTAATGGGACAGTGTTTTTGTGTTTAAATCTAAGATAACAATAAAATACAATAAAATTTGCTCTCATGTCAATTTAAAAAGTTTATAAATAAATAAAGTTTTATGTATCAGCTAATTGTCATATTTTAGTTTTCTTTTAAATAAAATTAACCTTGGATAATTAATTAATAATTCAGAAAGTTGAGTAGTTTTATTTTGACATATGCCAGTTAGTACATATTTTCTGCCATTTGGTGCACAACCATAGTTTTAAATTTTTTTTTGTTATTGAAGGGTTCAATGTAAGGTTTGTTGATATTTTTAGATATTTTTTGAAATAACTGTTTATACTACGTACAATAAAAATAAATATGTGATGTTTCTCTTTAAATCAGGAGTTCTCCTAGTCCCCCCGCCCCAAAAAAAGAATACTTATCCACAACCTTGCTCTCCAACCAAAACACGAGTAGCCGTTCGCAAATGTTGCAATTTATTTGCTTACCCTATCTCCAAGCATAGTGATTGTTTAGTCCTCCCTTTTAGTCCCATATAAGCAAATTAGAAATTGTTACAATGTAACAACTATATATATATATATATATATATATATATATATATATATATATATATATATATATATAAGAGTAAGAAAAAGAACAAAGAACATTGACTCCAACCCATCCAAAACAGTTTTATATATATATATATATATATATATTATATATATATATATATATATATATATATATACCGGAATTTAGGCGCCACGCCCTTCCGGTAGGGATCTATGGAGGAGTATCACCGAGCCGCAAACCTAATCTCTTGCCGTACTATTCCACCATAGGCCGATCACACACCAGCATATTCTAGTCTAAGCCGCAGATTCATCTAGAATTTTAAACTGCTGCGTTAGCCTTTTTATTTTTCACTACACCGCGCTGGGGCTCGAACCCACATCCACTGAACCATTCGACAGTGAAGCGAACGACAATTGGCCGCCTAGCCCGCTTGGCTATCTGACCGATACAATGTAACAACTGCTTTTGATAAATTTGGTGATAAAAATATGTAATAAACAAAATATGCAAATGATTAAACATCAGTTTTTACTTATAAATAATATATAAATAAAGTTAAGATAGCTACATAATTTTAAAGACTAAAGATGAAGACCGGTAAATTATATTATAGAAAAATGACATAATTTTACCGAAAAAGCATAGAAAATCCTTTAAAATGAGGGCTTCTATAGTTATTTTTGTTAATTTGTTGCTTAATTATTGCAAAAATAGCTTCAAAAGTTGATTTTTTTGAAAATTATTAATAACTTTCCTAAAAATGCACAAAAACTTTGATTTTGCTTGATAATAAGGACAATATCACAAATATTCAGCTTTAAAAAATTCAAGAAATTTTCCCTTTCTGTGGGACAACACGCCGGACAAAGTGTGGCAATATAGGCAGTTGCCTAGGGCGGCAAATTATGAGAAAGAAGCAAAAATACTAAACAAAAAAATATTTGTTTATAAAAATTAAAATCGATTAACATTTAAGTAGGGTAAAGTGTGCAAATCGCGGTCACCTAAGAAGAAAATTTAATATAAAAAAAAGTAAAACTCTGTGAATCAAATTTAAGCCGTCAATCCGTAATTTGGGGTTTTAACTTATTGCAAGATACATTTAATTTCAAAAATATAAAATTTTTGTCTTTGACAGAGACAAAACATAAAAAAGTATCTTTGACCGGTATTGTCACCATACATGGACAATACCGGTCATGAGTGTGGGTAATGCCAGTCAATTTGTTTGTGTTATTATTAAAATAAAAATCAATATCTATTTAACATTTTTTTTGTTATAAAACGATTAACGAATGTGGCTTAATGGGTCATAATTCAAGTAAATCAGTAAGAAAGGTGAAAAAATATTTTTTATTACAAAACAAACAAAAAATAAACAAAAATATGTGCCATCCACTGCACTCTGAATAAGCCCATCGTGAGCAAACGGTAAATATATACCACAATTCATTATTTTTGCCAAAGTCGCTGTAAACCATCTATCTTCGTATGCATCGTCACTGTTATCACATGATAATATCAATATCCGATTCCAAAGAAGTAGAATCAAACACCTTTTTCTTGTAATGCCAATTACAAGAAAAAGGCGTTTTATTACAAGAAAATTTATCTTGTAAACCCAAATGCTAATTTTCTCAGTTCTATTGCTGTTACGCCATAAAAAATTAAGCTAAATAATTTTTTTGTGTGGCTATTTTAGCTTCTTGTTCGGCAGAAAATACTGATTTTCTACCTAATGAGACACCTTGAAGATTTTTATTTTTTATTCTTTCTTGCAATGTCGAAAAATGGATGAATTAATCCCTAAGGATTAATAGTATAGGGTATAAATTATAGCATGGGGGTAATACCGGTCAACTGACCGGCATTGCCTCCTGTTGGCATTTTTTTTCTTAGAATTTTTTACTCGTAAACAGGTATTAAATTATTGATCTTTAAAAAAGGAATAGGCAGCTAACGTCATTATAATCAATTGTAACCAATTTTAAGATCTACAAATGAATAAAAATGAAATAAGATAGATAATATTACTCAGCATAAAAATAAGATCGAAAACACTGAAAACAGGTTAATAATATTTATATGACAATGGTTTGCGCCAACTCAACGCTCGTCAGCAATCTGAATACAGAGTAGTGTAGCGACACGTTGGCAGTTATAGGAGGTTGCCAGATTGAATAGATTTCGCACAATCGGGATGACCGCCATTACCCACTGACCGGTATTTGCACAGTTTACCCTACATCCATCAATGGAATGGAAGTGGACATTCATTTCTAGAAAACAAATTGCATTCTCTTAACACTATTCATTTAAAAAGAACGGAAGTCGTAAATTTAGGGATTATTGGGCCGCATTATACAGGTTTTAATGACTGGAAGAATGTTATCGTCAGATTAAAACAACATGAAGAATCAAAGGACCACACGGCAAATGTCTTGAGTTTATTCAATCGAGGTAAATTAAAAACAGAATAGACTGTTCCACATCAAGTGCGTTATGGGATCAATTCAAAAAGGCAACTTTTAGGTTGTTTAGAACTCATAGCAGAATTTGATCATTTTTTACGCGAACACCTTACTAAATTTAGAAATATTGTTCAAGAGAACTGTAATTATCTGTCAAACTTTATATGCGAGGAACTAATAATTTTGATGGGAAGAAAAGTAAGAAGAACGATTGTTGGCGAATTAAAGCAAGAAAAATACTATTCTATAATAGTTGATTCGACGTCAGACGTGTTTTATGCTAGCATTTTTAGTTCGTTATGTTTCTGGTCCAAATTTATGATAGTATCAAGGAGTCCAATAAATAATGAACAACTAAACCTTGGTGGCAGCAAATAGAGAGAGTGACAAAATATACATATCTGGGAGCTTACATCCACACAGAATTAGATCCAGACTAAGAGATCAGGGTACGAATAGAAATGGCAAGGGCAGCGTTCTTAAAATTCAAGCAATTGTTCTGTGACAAGAATCTGAATACTGCGCTGAGACTGAGGTTTGTTTGTGGTAGAAACATGGACGTTAAAAGCGCAAATAGTTAAGAAGCTTGAAGCCTTTGAACTTTGGATATACCGGAGAATTTTGAGAATTCCATGGACTGCCAGGGTCACCCATGTGGAAGTGCTGAGAAGGATAAGTCGAGACAAAAAATTGTTGAGAACAATAAAAGTACGCAAGACTGTATACCTTGGACACATACTGAGGAATGATAAATATAGTCTTCTGCAGGTCATCATGCAGGGTAGAGTCGATGGCAAAAAGGGAATAGGTAGAAAGAAGAAGTCATGGCTGCGAAATATTCGAGACTGGACAAACATGACTGTAGACGAATTATTCCACGTTGCAAAAGACAGAGAAACTTTTAGAAATGTGATCGCCGACCTCCGTTAATGGGGACGGCATAGGAAGAAGATGTTTCTGGTGATGGTATACCGACTGAAATATTTATTAAATCTATTTCACCTGAAGGTCACAAATTTGCTGTTTTGAATTCGACAGTAACCTCGACTTGAGAGGAATCCAATATGTCTGACA